TTTTTTTTGTTACGGAAGGGCCTCTCGGGCCATGCTCCTTCTATTTGGGCGATAATCGTTGCAGTCTTTATTTTGTTTGTTGTCTGTCTTCAAAAAATGGCCTGTAGGGTCCTCGCATCTTTCCATTCTGTCATTCTGTCTGGGGAGCGTTAGTCCGGGTTGCTTTTTTTTTTTCCACTGGCACACTGGCAAGTCAGGGGATATGACATTGCAATTTACAAGTTGCAGCTCATCCATCCACTCAGATGCTTTCTCCCGTCAAACTGCCAGTATGCTTTCCAGCCTTTTTTTTTTTTTTTTTTCCCCATCGTGGCCGTGCTTGCGCTGCAAGTTTTGGGGGTCAGCCTACCGGAGCAAAATGCCTGGCGGCACCAGCCAAAAGAAGGCCCGTGGTGGTTCGTTTTTTGGGGGAAAATTTTATGATAAGCCCCTGAAAGTTGAATTTATTCGAGGTGCGCCCCTCTGGTGCCCCGACTTACCTTGTCGCGCCCCTTTGACAAGGATTGAAGTTTCTGCAAAACCCCTGGCGGTCGTTTGGGCCTGAATTATGTTCAACATGCCCTTATCGGTACCGGTGCCAAATTTCCAGTATGCCCCGGTAGCAGGGCCAGGGGAACGGCCGTGAGTGCCACCAACGGCCACAGGGGCATGCTGGAAAGTCACACCCCTCACTGACAGGGGCCTGCAGGAAACTTCGGAGTCCCCAGGGGCATGACAGGGTAAGTCGGCCGTTGGAGGGGCATGCCTCAAAGAAATCAAACTTTCAGGGGCATATCGAAAATTTCCCTTTTTTGGGGCGATTTGTTTATTTTTGGTGCGCAGGACATTTCCCGGCTCAAAAGTACTGATGGTTTGAGACCGAAGGAACACCCTTGAACAGCGTTGATTGCTCCTTTGCAAAGTGCTTTTTTTTTCCCTTCTTCCCCCCCCCTCCCCCCCATCTTCTTTCCTGTTTAATGTGTAGTCGATGTAGTTGAACACACCACATGCTTGCGAGAAGTGGACGAATCAGAACAGCCATTGAACAATGAAATCCCTCTGTGTGCCCTCTTGCCGCTCATTGCTTTTCTCAGTTTTTGACATTTCGTTCTCTTATCAAGAATGGGATCTCAATAAACCCACAGGGCAGTGCTGGCGCAGCTCAGGTGCAGAGGCTTTTGCAGAAGCCACACGGAGGTTTTGCACTATAATGATCTGCCCACATGCTCCTCACTATAAGTTCCTGTCAAAGCATTTCAAAATTGTTTGGAAGCCACACGGAGGTTTTGCACTATAATCATCAGAATGTTGCTGCTGCTTCTGCTTCTGCTGCTGCTAATGCTGCTGCTGATTGATGTTATCATACATTCGTGAATTGCACAGCAGACTGCTGACTTTTCCCTCTGATTAATGTCTTGCTGTTGTCACTGTGTGTGTGTGTGTGTGTGTGTGTGTGTGTGTGTGTGTGTGTGTGTATTGTTTGTGTGTGTGTGCGTCTGTGTGTTGTGTGTGTGTGTGTGTGTGTGTGTGTGTGTGTGTGTGTGTCTGCGTGCGTGTGTCTGTGTGTGTTGTTTGTGTGT